GGGGGAGGGGGAGATGAGAATGGCTGCAGGGTCTGTGGTCTGTGCGTCTCCTTCCAGGGTCTTGGAAGTCCGCGGATTACAAGGTGGTCCATTTTCAATGGTGTTAAAACCTAGTTCTGCCAGTTCCTGGGGTCTGAGAACAGTCAGCCTTCCTGGAGAGGGTTGAGGCTCCAGACACAGCAAACAAATCAAAGTGCATCCTGTCCTTTGTCTGTTCTCAAACTGCATTTTCTTTTCTGAGCAGTGGACCCACCCAGGCCCCAAGGACCTGCCAGCTCTTATCTTTTTACTGCTCTGTTTTTCTTCTTGCATTACATCCCCCAGTTTCCCAGGGTCTGTAGGAAAACGTATCTATAGCTAGTAAGGTGAACAATCATTAAACAACTAAGGTCCTATTCTTATTAGGTGTCCTCCCCCCTTTTGCGATCTTGGTTGACAGAGTATGATCAGCATCTCTGCCCCGACATTACTAGCGACATTTACGGATGAGCAGACTGAGAACTTGGAGAAGGTACTGACTGGCTAGGCCAGGGGGCCGCCTGGGTTTGAGCGCCGGTGTTGTCTGATGCGGCTGCTTGGGGTGCTCGATGCTGCTCCCAAGTGGCAGAGCCGTGAAGTGCAGAAGAGCGGAGAGCAGACCAAGGAGAAGGCAGAACCTCAGCCCCTAGTGCACCTCCTGTGGCATCAGGACAGGACTCAGGGGGACCTGGTCTGTCATCCCTGAATTCCCACCCCAGCCCAGGTAGGACACCTCTGAATCCCAAGGGAAAAGGAGTATGGCCCTTCTCTGAACAGTGCGGGAGTGGCCCTGAAGGCTTGCCAGGAGCAGAGGCTTGGGCTCAGCCTTGAAACCCAGAAGTCTTCTTGTTCTGTCAGAGCAGCCTCAGTTTCCCCTTCTGCTCGCATGGCAACCATAGTGGGTTTCCCGAAATGCAGCAAATCTGCTTGTGTCTCTCTCCTTACTTACACTATTCAGTGGTTCCCCAGTTCCCTCAGATGTCCTGACCTTTCAAGACCTGGTTTCTGCTGACCCACAGATCCCGTCCAGCCCACATTTTCTCTCCCCTCCAGGCAGTGACAATATATGTGTTGTTTACTTTTGACCTCAGGGTGTGGGCTCTGGGACCAGAAGGCCTGGATTCAAATCCTACTTCCATTACTTGTCAGCTGTGTGGTCACTTTCCTGAATTTCAACTTCCTCATCTGAGAATTGGGGGTGGCAATGGACCCACATCTTAGGATTGTTCAGATTCAGTAACTTAATACATGTACAGGGCCCAGAATTGTGCCTGGCATAGAGTAAGAGATTGATAAATGTTTATTATTATTATTATTATTATTATTATTATTATTATTATTAACTTCCTAACTGACTCTTGGAAAACACAAAGCCTTGCATCCCTCATTTTACAAATTACTCCTTCTCAGGTAACATTGCCTTTTAATTGGTTCTTTGACCAAGCAACAGGACTGGCACATGCAAAGGTCCTGTGGAGACACAGTCCAAAAGCCAGAGAGATGGAGTATCTGTGAGGGCCTAGCACAGAGCTGGGCACAGAGTAGGTGTGCAATAAATACCCATAGCATGCCTAACTCGGTGTTCTGGGGGTGATATTTTAGACCAGAGGTTGGCAAACCACAGCCTGCAGGCCAAATCTGGCCACCGTATGTTTTTGTACAACCCAAGAACTAAAAACAGTTTTTACATTTTTAAACAGTTAAAAAAAAACAAAAGAAGAATATCTCACAACATGTGAAAATTGTACAAAATTCAAATTTCAGCGTTCATAAAGTTTTATTGGAACACAGCCATACCCATTCATCTACATATTGGCTGTGGCTGCTTTGGGGCAATAATAGCAGAGATGAGTGGTTGTGACAGTGACAGTATGACCCAAGAGCCAAAAACATTTACTACTGGGACCTTTACAGGAAACCTGAGCATTAGACATTTTCAATCCCACTGTCTTGCAAGGGCCAGGGGAGAGGGCCCAAGGCCTGCCCTGGGCTGCCAGTCCAGGTCCCGGGTTATGCCTCTGACAGTTACCCCTGCTCTCTCCCCTCAGTCCGCCAGCAGGGAGTGGCCCGGCTGCAGGAGGAGCTGGAGAAGATGGAACTTCCCTCTTTCTCAGGAAGCTTTAAGATCAAGTATTTGGGGAAAGGTGATTATAACTTCTACAGGTGAGGCTTGTCAAGCGCAATCGTCAGTATGCAGAACTTTGTAGTGTTCTGGGGCCACCAAAGCCTAGAATCACAGAGCCACAAACTCCTAAACTCAGAAAGGTTAGGATCCCAAAGCTAGTGTTTACTCCGGCCCAAGGAGATACAATCCCCAAGCTTCCACCACAAAAACTGCCTTTCAGGCACTCACCATGACTCCCTGAGGGATGTGTCATGAACCCCAAGACTCTGTGCTAGGCCCATATATCAATTAGGATTTGGAGGAGTTGGGGCTCAAGGACAGAAAACCTAATCCAAATGACCTGAGCAGGAATTATTGGCCCACATGACTGAGATGTCCCTGGAGTAGTCTAGCTTCAGGTTCAGCTTGAGGTAGGCTCAGGTGTCACTGGATCCTGTTTCTCTCTTGTCACCTCTCAGTGCCCCTTCCTTGGGGAAGTCTAATTCCCAGGCACAGTGTCTCCTCCAAGAGGCAAGATGCCATCAGCACCTCCTCAGCTCTGCAAGTCCTATGGAAGGGGAGCACCTTCTCCTTGCAACTCAAGCAACACCCCTAAGATTCTCGGATTGGTTCATCTTAAGTTATGTACAGACTCCTGAAGCAATCGCTGTGGTCAGGAAAATAGAATATGCTAATTCGCTCATGCCTAAATCACAAGCCCCCCCCCCAAAGATGGAGACAAAGTCAACTTTCTCTGGAGCAGTGTGGAAAAGTTAAACCGCAATTCTGTGAACACAATAGGGGGGTGTGGGTGCTGGGTGGGAGACCCATAAGTGTTCTGTAGGGAATTTAATACTCCTATTCACTCAACAGATATAGTTGGGAATCTACTATGTGTCTGGCACAGCAGGTTTTGCTACAATAGTGGAAAAAAAACAGATATTTTTCACCCCTTTGGGATAACATTATCTGTACTGATTGTCATACCCCTTGCATTATAGCAGTTATTGTGCCCGTTTTACAAATTAGGAAAACCAGAGGCTCAGGATGATTCAGGGACCTGCTTGGGGTTACACAATAGTAAATTTAAGAGCAGGATTGAGATGCAAATTTGTCTGACTTCAAAGCCTAGCCGGCGTTCCCAAGGCTGCTCTCATAGCTTCCCAGGTGTCCTGGAATGGATGGGGTGCGGGGCTTGGGTGGGAAGGAGAAGTCTCCATTAACCCCTGGCTGAGTCCTTGGGTGGGCCCCCAGAAAGCTAACGGAACATTTCTTCTTCGCAGCTTGGTTATCCGTGGAGTTCAGCTTCCCAGTTCCCAGATAAGACTGTTGCCCAATGAGGGCCTTGCTCTCTCCGTGACAAATGCCAATGCCAAGATCAGCGGAAAATGGAAGGCACGCAAGAATTTCATGTGGGTTCCCAAACCTGGGGTTTTTGAGTGTATGGGTAAGCTCTTGGTGATACTTGGAAGGGGTGAGAATCAGGACCTCAGGAAGGCCAAATTTTTGCCTTGCTCATTACCACTTGTCCCCACAGGGTTCCTGGGGGAATTTTTCACAGATGATTCAGCATAACCCTTGGTTAGTAACTGAGCATTTGCCCTTGTCTCAGTGCAGGACACTGGCAAGGCTGAGTTAGCGCACGTGGCTTAGGATGGAAGGCTGAGACCCTTAATTTACCCTTTTATCAGTCAGCTATTGCTGTGTAACAAACATCCCAACTCAGTGCCTTAAAACAAGTCATATAGTATCACTTGCACATCTATGTGTTTGGTTGGGCTCCTCCATCTAGGTTGGACTTAGCTGAGGTGGCTCTTCACTACTTGTATCTCTTTCTCCTCTCAGGACCAGTGGGCCACCCAGAGCATGTTCTTGGTGATGGCAGGGGTATAAAACAGGCAACAGGAAACGCAGGTCCCCTTAAAGTCTAGACGCAGAACTGGTCCACAGTCACTTCTACTCATATGCCATTAACCAAAGCAAGTCACATGGCCATACCCAAGGTCAAGAGCATGAAAATGAACCCCCGGCCCCCACATAGGCAATGGCGAGGGTATGGATGCAGGGAGGGGTAAACATTTAGGACAAATCATCCAAACTATACCCTGGATCTAAATATTGGGCCACTAGGGATAGTGGCTTGGACTGACCAACCACTTTAACAATTTCTCTCCTTTGTGGGGAATTCAGGGAGAAAATGGAGGAGGCACTTTGGTGAGAAGAAGGGTGTGAATCTGCCCTCCCTTACAGGGACCACCGGGTCTGTCCGCTCCCTGCAGCATGAATGGCTTAGGTCGTCAGTTAGGCTCTCTTGTATATCTGTCATTTCACTTACTGATCACACACACACACACACACACACACACACACACAAATAGTAATACTTAATTACATTATAGAAGAGTTGACAAATTACATTCACGACTACTGTCTTATCCAAAACTCATTTCAGTCCCTAGGGAGGAGTTATGAACCCCACTAATGAACAAGGGCATTCATTAACTAAAGTCATTGACCCCCACACAACCAAACCACCAGCTTTTTAATGGCAAAGCTGGTGTCCCACTCCTGGTGCAGGGTCTGGATGAGGAAACTGAAGCTGATAGGGGAAGAAAGACTCCCCAAGTCACGCAGCATGGGCCGAGGCTGAAGCCCTGGGTGAGAGCAGGGTTCTGCCAGGCGGACATGGGTTACAACTTCAGGCTGGACTCCTGGATCTTTCACTCAGCTGCTGTGTGACCTTGGGCAAGCTGCTTCCCTCTCTGAACTCCATTTCCTCACCTGGAGTGGAAATAACAGCAAAACCTACCTTCTAGCATTGGCAGGCAGTTCAGATAGCAGTGGGGAAGAAAGTGCTTGCTCCAAGGCTTTTCTCTTTGTCTCTTTTTAGCAAAACCAGTGGCAACTTTGACCTGAGCGTGGAGGGCATCTCCATTGCGGCTGGTCTGAAGCTGAGCTGTGACCCCACCTCAGGTCACGCCACCTTCACCTGCTCCAAGTGCAGCAACCACATTAACAGCGTCCGAGTGCACGTCTCAGGCAGCCACCTGGGGTATGACCTCCTGGGGCTGTAGGTAGCGGGAGGGACATCAAGGAGAACTGTTCTAATCATCCCTGTATTTAGGAAACACGTCTGAGTGCCACCTCCCTGCCAGGCCTTGTTTAGAGGCCTCGGGTATAGGGGAGGAGACAGAGGTCCTTGGATGGAGCAGACACCTGTCCCTGCCTTGAGGGAGGGGGGCACTTGTTCATTCAACATGCGTTCAGCAGACTTTACTGAGCTCTCACTATTGCTGCAGGCTCTGGGCTAAGCACTGGGTGTGCACTAAGTTATACGATCCTCACCACAAAGCTGCAGGCATGCAGCCAGCCAGCAGTCAGCAAATATCTACTGTGAATCCTATGCACCAGGCTTATGCAACAGGCTCCAGAAACATCAGTGGCCAGTACCAATGTAGCAGTAGCTAACCGAGATTGGAGGCTCACTGTGTGCCCAGCACTATTTTAAGCACGTGCATTACCTCATTCAGTCCATACAATGACACTGAGGTTAGTCCATTTTCAGGGGAGACAACCCAGGCTCTGACAGGACAGGAAATAACCTGAGTTTTCATACCTAGTGATTATTGAGAAGGGATTCAGCCCAAGATTATCTGGCCCCAGATTCTTAGCCACACAGTCCCTGTTCCCTTGAAGCCTCTGGCCCAGTAGGGAAGACAAACATTAATCAGATCGTTGCATTAATGAGTAGCTCACAAAGAATTTCAAAAGGACATACGACCCAAGGAAAAGGGTACAGAGTGGGGCAAAGCCAGGGAACAGGAGGATCTGACCTGGTCTGGGGGTTGGCCAGTACGTTCTTGACGAAATGACATTTGAGTTGAGATGAAAAGAGTAAGTAGGAGTTAATGAGGTCGTTGTTGGGGACAGGGGTTGTTGTAAGCAGAGGGAACAGCACATGCAAAGGCCCTGGAGTGGGAGGAAGCACAGATCATGAGGATAGGCAGAGCAGTGTGGCTGGGGTGCAGGGGACGGGGGAGGCCAGGAAGGAGGCTGAGACAGGCAGGGGCCCGGCCGTGCCGTGTTGGAGAAATAACCTTATGAGCAGGTCAGGTCAGTGCTCGCAGGGGGAGGTGTCTAATGGGGCCTGTGCAGTTTCATTCCAGGGACCAGGGTGCTTATTTGGAGGGAGGGAAGGCTTCCCAGATGAGGCAACCTTCCAGGACAGCTCAGGGACACCTGGGAAGCCTCATGCACATCCCGTGTCACTCTCCAGGTGGCTGATCCAACTCTTCCACAAAAAAATCGAGTCTTCGCTCCAAAACACCATGAGCAGCAAGGTAGGCAGGGCTCCGATTCTCCTTCGGTGAGAGCGGGAGGGGCCCTCCTGTCCCCTCACTTCATGCATCACTGGACACCTCTGCCCTCACCCAGACCCCCAGCAGTCCTTCCAGCCCCTGGAAAGCATACCTCCAGCTCTAACAGTCAGGCACGTCTGTTTTTCTGAGGAGTCCAGTGAGAGACTGAGAAAAGGTCGCGTCACACACCCACAGCAAACCGCCACGCCGGCCTGGATCACTTCTGTTCTCCCCACCACTCGTCCCCGCAGAGA